CAAACATGTATTAACTATATTATTAATGCAATGGATGTTGTTTCTTGTTTTACTATTGTACATTTGTTGTGATACTGAGCATGACGTCCTCCGCCCCCGAACGCTTCCGCCGTTCTGGTTTAGGGGTGTGACAGATTGGTATCAGAGCATTGTTTATAGTGAACTAAGTATATCAACCCATAAAAAATATACAACTATATATACAACGGGATTAAAAATACTATGACCAAGAATTATACTTTTAAAAATATAAATATTCTTATATTAGTATACATACATGTATATATACATACTAGAACTAGTATTACAAGAAGAACAAAACAGAAGTATTTAACGTTGGGCACTATGGTCAAACCTGGACAATTATGTGATCATATCTGGGATAAATATAGCCTGATCAACTATATTTGTTTGAGATATGACCAACATGTATTTGGGAGTGATAGTGGTGTTGCAGCAAGTCTAAAACTTACCAACTCCATATACAAAGAAATACTAGAATCAATCATAAAGTTTAAAATACTATAGGAGTATTTTATGATACTATACAATAACAACAAGTCTAGAAACCTACTAATTTCGTATACCAAGAAGTTGTAGAATCAAGTATGCAATTTTAATACTATAGGAATATCTTAGGTACTAAAAATAACTTATGTGAAAAGTAAAAGACCTTTACTAGTAAGGCTATAATTACCGAGTGTATACATTAAGGCTACATATAATTGAGATTTTATAGACCTAGAATTCCTGATTTTCACTCTACTTCCTGTTCCTTGTTTGGTTGTGGTCTTAGAGTAGGCTCACTTATTCGAAGGCCTATTTGATATTGGTTATATATAATCGGTATACACTACGTGTCATAGAAGGACCCGGTTAAGATCATCATAAAAAGCTCAATGGAGATACTTTTATTAATTTCATAGATTCTTTAGACACTCTCATTCTCGCACAACCGACACACCTAGACATCGCAAACAGCCAATAAAGGAGTGGAGGCAGAACTAAAAGAGGGTTCACGAGGAGGATTCCGAGAAAGGATCGGACAAACAGAAAGGCACTAGAGGGATCATTAGCAAACCTTATCCTATCAGAAACAAAGTAGAGAGCACCTTATACGTCATACTAAGAAAACCTAGTGATTTAGTGATCACACTACTCACACTATGTGTTAAATTTACCGTACATTTCATCACAACTAACAACGGTAAAATCAAGAGAGATACTCCCTTCCAAAACCCATGAAACCCGATCAACTTAAGATTTCAATATCTATACTCTATTTGGCTAAACTTGACTTTGATAAAATATCTATTCTTACTCTCCACCAGAAATACATCATAGGGAAGTAGGTCGAAACATTGGGAATGGCACAACAAAACGAGAAATTTATATGTATAGATAAATAGATAGAGTACAACTAGCAACGATCATAGTTATTAAAGAAATCGTTTCAAGTTATGTAACAGAATCATGTCTTCACATGGAAATAACCTGCCAACCGACGAAACCCCGATCCTACATATAGACTCCGCTACATTCCAAGCTTCCGTAACAGCTTTTGTGACAGCTGTCATGGCCATATTCAGTTCCAACAACCCAAACGAAAATAGAAACAATGTCGACACTTTAGACCGTAGTAAGAATTAAGGAAACCAACGAGCGCCTACCTATGAGAATACCCCAACCCACAAACCTAATAGCAAGAAACGAATGTTTTGGGATAAAAAGAAGTGTAAATCATCCCAAAGATTTTCCGAGAGACAGAAACCTATGGCAGCCTCTGCGGCCACAACATCTGTCGCCCCTGCTACCACAACATCTGCCACTCCAACACCAACACCAGTGCGACAATATGCTGGAAATCTACAAAAGTGCAACAAGTGCAACTTCCATCACCTGGGAGTCTGCCGAGTGTTGCATTGCATGAACTGCAACAAGAACCGGCATACTACCCGTTTCTGTAGAATTCCGATCCAGCACATTACTTCAACCACCGATGCTAGTACAAGTCAAGCGTGCTATTTATGTGGTGAAATACGACATTTCAAAAGAGATTGTCCAACAGAGAAAAACGACGGAGGAGAGGGAGGAGTCTAATGACAAAACATAAAGGAGCAACGAGGAACTCTTCAGAGATTTTTGGTACATTTCCAAACAACAATAGTTAAACATCAAACGTTCATGAAAAATTATTGAAATGTCAAAATCATAAATTAAAACATCATTCATATAAAGACTAAGAACCCTTGCAAGTGAGCTATGATGGTTTAGTGTATACACAAAGGTCATTTATAATTAAGATTTGTAGGCTTAGAGTGAGTGATTCCGCATTAATTCCTGTTCCTTGTTTGGTTGTGGATTTAGGGCATAGTCACTCAGTCAACTGTCTTTCCAATCTTAATTATACATGACTTATATACACCAAGCGATTTTAGCGGGACCTGGTAGGGATTACATTATGAAAGTTCATTATTTTCAATTATCAGAACACTCGTACTGCTAGTACTCGTTAAATGCGATTCAAAAATGTCCACAGCAGTAATAACAAGGATAAAACAGAAACCCTGAAAAACATATACATAGAATAGTTCATCGTTCTATCAATCATTCCTTTCCAAATCGACTTAACATCGTTACTATAAAGAGTTCTGACGTCATCATTCGACGTGGGATTGTCTTGGTCCTCACCATACCAATTTTCTGTGCCACGTAAAAATCCTTCGCCTTAAACGACCGTCTAACGAAATCCTTCACTACAAATAAAATTACATTTAGTGGCACAAAGTTTTAGTGGCATTTTGCTTTTGTGCCACTATAGACTACTTTTAGTGGCAATTTTTTTTATGCCTTTATTACTTTTAATAGATATAGTGTCACTTTATATCTCATGACACTAATTTCTATCTTTATTAATGTAACGACCCAAATTTTACAAAGAATTTTTTTTTTCATTTTTAAGTAGTCAACCATTTTTCATAAAACATAAAGATTCCATTAATTGTTTTCAAAACCACCAAGATTACAACATTATTATTTTCAAAACATCAGAGTGTCCCCCAAACCAGATCGGAAAAGAGAGATAAAGTGCACACCGCATCATCACGCCTTGCCTTTGCCCTTGGGCTCCGATGTACCTGAAACAAATCCACAGACGGTAAGCTGGAAGCTTAGTGAGTCCCCCAGAGCATACCCCACACAAACCACATATCACATTAGCTATAAAGCTACCTCTACCACATATCACATGTCGATTAGCCATGAAGCTATCTCTACCGTTAGCCACAAAGGCTATCTCTACCATCAGCCATAAAGGTTGTCTCTACCATTAGCCATAAGGCCAACTCTACCATTAGCCATAAGGCTATCTCTACCGTTAGCCACAAAGGCTATCTCTACCACATATCATGCACACATACATATCACACCTCTACATAACAAGTAAACCAACTATCACAAAACGGGCCGGCCTTGGTGCCTTAAACCCATTGGTATGGTGAGAAAACTCACCTCACAAAGCTGAATCGGCAACTAAATTCAGGTATGTCCTGTGCTGCTCTTCCCAAATTGTTTATAATCAATGAGTAAATAACTCAGCATAATCCCATAAATACCCCCAGGGTCAACCCTAGTCAAAGTCAAGGTCTATAGCCAAGGTCAACAGTCCATATTGACCTTGACTCGTCGAGTACAATCGTTCACACATCGGGTTCCCAGCTTAACTCATTGAATCGCCGAGTCAACCGAGGGACTCGTCGACTTCCTTGATGTTTACGGCTGTAGACCACCAACCGTACACTCTTGACCGTAAACCCTTGGCCGTGAACCCTCTCGACTCGTCGAGTCACCAGAGGGACTCGACGAGTTCTCACGTAATTGATTCATTCCAGTGGGATTTAAGGTTTCAAACTTCAGATCTATACTCTCCTAGTGAATATATCACGTAAAGTTGCAAACTTTATGTGCATGCATAGTCTCTCATGGTCATAACACCCAAAACTAACCTTCAACCAAGGTTCTTATGCATGGAGAGGGAATGAGCTCAATAAAAGATGCAACTTTATGATATTTGGGGCCTAAGAAGGTCCATATCTGGAACCATATCCTTGTGATAGGTCCAGATCTAAGCTTGCTTCCATTTCCTCAAAGTTGGTCACAATTCTCAAATAGAATTTATGCTTAAGGTAACAGATTCATACCTCAAATCAATGCCCCAGACTAAGTAGATGCTAGATCTAGTGTTTTCCCCTTGATACTTCTTCTTCAAGCTTGGAATCCTCCCCAAAATCACAAGGATAAGCTCCCAATTGATCTTGCTCTACTCACAAGAGGGTGTGCGGCCGTAAAAGTCCTTCTATGGTGCTAAGGGAGGCTACTGGGGCGGATAATGACGTTTATATAGGGAGCAAACTCCAAAATTAGGGTTTTCATTAAACAGCTCAGACTCGCTTAGTCGAGCCTTCCGACTCGCCGAGTCACATCGGATCCGCGTCCCAGATACACGACCCTACTTGACAAGTTGACCTCCCAACTCGTCGAGTCCATGCATAAATTCTGTCCAATTCAAACCAGGTGTTACAATTAATGTTATAATAAATTGAAATGCCACAAAAACTTTCTATTTTATGACATAGCAAAAAAAATTCATCAAAATATTTAAAAACCTCAAAATATAAAACTTAAAAACTTTTTAGGACCGCCTCTCTTTCCTTCTTAGCGGGAAAACGAAAAATGGGATCATAAGATCCCGCTTCAGAAATCCATCGATTTAGACTTTAGAACGGGGTTGTACACATGCTCCGCTTCTCCCTGCTCCGCGCTCGATCGCTCCGACCTAGATGCGTATAAAAAAATGGAAGTCTTTGATTGAGAGCTCTGAGTTTATTGTTGCTCACAACCTTCGGTGCCACACTCATCTGCAGCATCTGCTTGTATCGTATGAAGATACGAGAATCATCATGTGCTGAAGTTATATCGATGATGAGACTTTCCCCCAACAGATGTATATTCTGACTCTTCCTCTTCCTTTGACCGTCGAAGAAATTATTGTTGCAGACATAGTTGGTTGCTCACGGGGCTTGGTGTGCTTGTGTGGTCGTGCTCCTGATTGGGATGACGTTTGGAGTAGGACTGTTATGGCTCTACTTTGGAACCCTTCGATTAGAAAAATGGTTGTTGTTACTGCGCCTACCGGATCAAGTGGTTTAGGTTTTGGGGTTTGTCCTGTGACCAATGACCCTAAGATTGTGTCATTTAAATGCTCTTCTTGGAAAACCGGTTATCATTGTGAAGAAGTTTTGGTTTACAGCTTGAGCTACGGGAAATCGACAATTCTATCCACCAATCTCCCCACTCAACCAATTCGGGTCTCTTCCACCTGCTCTGCCCTCTTTGCCCTGCTCAACCCTAGATAGACTACACTCCTTCGTTTTAGTGTAAGTTTCTCTTCATCTCTATCATTTTTAATTATATTGATTTTTATTTGAATTAATCATATGAGGAAATTTATGTTTTGGGGTTTATATGTTTATTTACATCAAGAGTCGAGGGATTTATGGGGTTTTAGAGAAGATGGGCATTCTGCAATAGTCTGGAATTCCAAGATTGATACTTAAAAAGTCAAATACTGGAATGGAATCGATTAGATTGTGCTTTGGAATCCAAAATGCGCTTTTGCTAAGGTTTTATCCATTTTTAAACCTCGTTTCCATAAATTCTTGATCATATAAATGAAGTAATTTAGTTCTTACTTTTTTGGTTAGAATTTTTTACTTAATCCTACAAATTAATTGTTCCAGCTCACGACCAGGTCATTTCATTATAGAATGATCAAGACCGTGAACTCCTGTTTACTGGAACTAAGGTTACCATTTCCATTTATGTTGTTGCAATATCTATAGAATTTATGAATCTTGTGAAAACTCGTGTGATTTGGGATAAAAAGATGATGATATTGTAACTGATTATGCAGTTTGGTAATTGTGGTTCACTTGAGAAACATGGATTTTCAAAAAACAAAATATGGGTTGTTGATAAAGATCCTCCACCTCTTCCCACAAATGATTAAAATGGGGAATAGTTTGTTGATTTTCTACTAAAACCATCTGAAGAACATATGAAGTCTTGGCCTCATAGGTTTTACTTTGGGCTTTATCATTGTGAACTATATAATGAAGTAAAGCTTCTTTTTGTTTTAAGGTTAAAAATTGATTAAGATGATGCTTTTTTAGCTTTGAACTTCGGCTTCTTTATCATGAGTTTACTACATAAAATAATTTGGATTGTTACTTTTATGTATGTTTGCTTAGTATTATTACACATGTTTGTCTTTAGTTGATTGTATTGTAGGATTGAAAGAGGTTTTCTAAGCTTGAACAAACACGAAGATCTTGGTATCATTTTGGAAGGTAATATATCTTTTTACTTCAATATTTTCTATATTTTACATTAATGTGTGTCAAATTAGTTTGAAAGTTGTGTGTTATTTTGTGTCCTATGGTAGCAATTTGGTATATATATGATCACTGTGGTAGCAATTTGTTAAAAAGTAGTCCCTATAGTAGCAATATGTCACAAAAGTAGTCCCTATCAATCTGTTACAAAAATGGTCCATGTTGTAGCAACATGTTTTTTTCTTCTTCACTTCATTTACTGCTTTGTCCTTCTTCACTTCATTTACTTCTTCACTTCATTTACTGCTTTGCCATTCTTCACTTCATTTACTGTTTTGCCCGTTTTCACTTCATTTACAAAAATGGTCCCTTTATTGATTGTTTCTTTTTTGTTGTTTTGTATCTAATTTTTAAAGGAGTTCAAAAGAAGGTTAGGCTTCATACCGTAAAATCTGTGACATGCCGACCCGGAAGATGAGAAGTGATTGAAAAATAGTAGTGACATTTAATAAGTTTGGGAAAGCAGTTGGAGAAGAAGAAAATGGACCTACACAATTTCTTGGGGGGCACTTGTAACGATGGCTAACCTTGTTTGAATAGTAGTGACATTTAATAAGACGGTTGTGTTATAAACATATTGAGAATATTGTTTTTAGACAAGTTTAAATTGATGTAATGATATTTTGTTTTTGTTTATTATTTTAATTGTCCTATTATTATTTTATATTCCATTTAAAAAAATTAGACCTAATTTATTAATATTTTTTTGTATTAAAAAAGTGCCCCTGAAAGTATGAAAATAATAATTATTTTTGTGGTTAAATAGTGTCATCAAAATAGTGCCACTAAAACTACAAGTGCTTTAGTGGCATAATCAAAAAGTGCCACTAAAACCCAATTAAGCTGCAGCGGCACAACAAAAAAGTGCCATTAAAGGTCTTTAGTGGCAGCTCTTTTAGTGGCACTTTTTTTTGTGCCGCTGATTGCCTGAGGGGATTTTAGTGGCACTTTTTCGGTTTTTAGTGGCACTTTTTCCGTGCCACTAAATGTCATTTTATTTGTAGTGCTTTCAATCTATAACGATAAATTCAACACGAACCTCAGTAGTGTCTCACGTTTTGAAACTCAGAAGTACCCAGGCGAGGGGTACCACGCCTTTCTAGCTTCCCCGTAGACAAGAAACATAAAGTAAACAACACCGAGGAATGTTCTGGAAGTCCGTAATCTTCCCGAAGCATCCCCAGTAGTTCCTGTTAGAGATGCACAAACCCAGGATCCGATCCGGTCAACAATCCGATCCGGCCAAATCCGATCCGGATCCGGTCAAAATCCGGTCCGAATCTGGTCAACAATCCGAATCCGATTTGAAACCGGTTTGATTCGGATTTTTTTAGGTTTTACCAGATTTTTCGATGGTTTAAGAGCCGGTTTTTGTAGAATCCGGTTTGTGATCCGGGGGTAAATCCGATTTCGAGTCCGAAAAGTCAAACCGGTTTGAATCTGGTCACCGGTTTAATCCGATCCGGTTTGGTCAAAATCGGTTTTCGGATTGGATCGGTTTCATTTCGAGGATCCGGTTTTTGTGTGCACCTCTGGGTCCTGTAGGAATACCACTCGTACAGCAAGACAAGTTCAAGAATAAAGATTAAGGACTGATACCACTAGTCTATCACTACTAAGTGTATACGCGAGAGTAGTATATAATTAATATTTTTGGGTTTAGGATGTGTGCTTCCGCCCTATCTCCTGTTCCTTGTCTGGTTGTGGACTTGGGGAAGAGCTACCCATCCGAACATCTTTTCAATCTTAATTATATGCGACTTGTATACACGAGGTGATGATAGATGAGCCAAGTATGATTCTTACCATGAACTTCAAAACAAAAGTCGTCCAAGTCAATGAGTGAGCATGCTATGATGCAGACAAACGTAGACAAGTAAACCAAACCCACATCATATTGACAATGACAATCCATTCACATCCGTCCACACAATTTAAGGAGGCTCAACAGGAAGCCTTGAAACCGGAAAATGTGGCAGGTGAAACCCTAAGAGGGATGGATAAAAACTTAGAAGTCAAGGGTGAGGGAGTCTTATACCTCGTGGATCAAATATGGACACCAAAGTTCGGTGGTTTCAGAGACGTTGTCATGAACGAAGCGCACAATGCTCGATACTCCGTTCATCCAGGTTCATACAAGATGTATCTAGATCTTAAAGAGTTATATTGGTGGCCTAACATGAAAGCAAATATTGCTACCTTTGTAGGCAAGTGTCTTACTTGTGCCAAGGTAAAGGTAGAATAACAAAAGCTCTCAGGTTTACTACAACAACCGGAGATAACTGAGTGGAAGTGGGAGCGGATTAAAATGGATTTCATAACCAAGTTGTCCAAGACAGCGGGTGGTCTTGATACCATTTGGCTGATCGTTGACAGGTTAACTAAGTCCGCACACTTCCTGCCAATCAAAGAAACCGACAAGATGGAGAAACTGACAAGAACATACATTAGAGAGATAGTACGACTGCATGGTGTTCCCATATCTATTATCTCCGATAGAGACAGTAGATTCACCTCAAGATTTTGGCAGACGCTACAGAAATCCCTGGGAACTAGGTTGGACATGAGTACAGCCTACCACCCACAAACTGATGGACAGAGTGAAAGGACTATACAAACGTTGGAAGACATGCTGAGAGCTTGTGTGATCGACTTTGGTAAAGCGTGGGATATCCATTACCATTGGTCGAGTTTTGATACAACAACAACTACCATACTAGTATCAAAGTTGCTCCATTTGAAGCCATTTATGGCCATAAGTGCAGATCCCCTTTGTGTTGGGCTGAGGTGGGTGACACGCAACTAGCAAGGACAAGTTCCTGACAACACTCTCACTGGTCAGGAAATCATCAGAGAGAGGTTTGAAAAGATTGTACAAATTCGTGAACGATTGAAAGCCTCTAGAGACAGACAGAAAAGCTACGCTGACAAAAGACGAAAACCCTTGGAATTTCAGGTTGGTGACCTTGTTCTATTAAAGGTCTCACCCTGTAAGGGTGTTGGGAATAAAACCCTAATTGAGATTTGATGAACAAGATGCGAAAAATAAGAACAAACACAATTATGAAGATATGTTGAATGATCACTCGATTTATTCAATTATGAGGAACAAATTACACTTTAAGAATAAGAATATAACTCTACAAGAAACCTCACAACGTGGCGGCTACATTTTGCCTCACTCTTAACCCTAATTATGAATAATACATGACTATTTATAGGGAAAAGACAAGTCTTGGGCTTTTAACCTACACTTCATCAAGGGGGCCCATTGCCATCATCCATGGAGTACTTTGAAACCCTACAATCTCCCCCTCAAAGTATGGAATGAATGACAATGCTTTAACTTCCAAAACAAAAGCCCATTTCAGAACAAAGAAACCAAATCACTTCTTGTCTTTGAAGAACTCCCCCTCCAAGTCACAATGATCTTCAAATAAGCTAATGATATAAGCCACCAAAAATTTTCATGTAACAACCCAAATTTTAAGATTCGTAACGCCACTTGATCGAGAAAATACTAGAAGTCGGAGATATAACAAGCCCTTAGAAGAGCTCGATGAAGAACTGTTACTGTAAAGGATACTTCTCTACAAAAGCTTTAGAAGAGCTAGATGAAGAACTGCTACTGTAAAAGCTACCTTCATAATTCTACCACAAGCTTTATAAAAAATCTTCAAATTTGGAAAGTCACAAACCCAATTTCGAATGACCATACCAAATTCTCCCCCGATTTATAATAAAAAACGTGATTATAAAGCCATCAAATGGTCATGAGAATGATCTTGAACGGATAAAAAATTACTATGCTTCTCCGCGACAAAATGATATGTGACATCCCCATTTTCACGGCCAGAAAAGACCGATTTTGTTTATGCTTTATAAAAATCATAGTACCTCTTTTAATAAAAATGTTGCGGAATTTGTTCCCAGAAAAACATGATAAATACGTTATCAAATCA